AGAAAGAGAAAGAGCGAGAGCGAGCGAGAGCGAGCGAGAGAGAGAGCAGAAGTCCTCGTTCTAGATCCATACGTAGGAGGTGCAAACGGGGCGGGTAAACTGCGACAATCCACCCACAGTGCCAGGAGCAGAACAGTGCCACCCGTCAAAGTCGGAATTGGCACTGCGGGGGCCGGAGTGTTCACCCAGAGAGTTAATCAATGGCTAAAAGAGTGTGCTTTGCTCTGGGAAAAAGTAACGGATGCCTATGAAGGGAGAAAATTCATTTTATGATTCTTGCTCTCTCTGATTATGTGTCTGTGTGTGTCTGTCTGTCTCTCTTTCAGACTCTTTAGTCCCAATCCTCCCCTATCATCATCATTTTACTCCCCTCTGTTCCTCTCTCCCCCTGTCCCTTCCCCTCTCATTTTCTCTCTCTCTCCCTTCTCACTCACTCACTCACTCACTCACTCAAATACAAACACAAACAAACACACAAACACGCACTACGCCCCCACTCGCTCTCCGGGCGCCCTCGTGTGAATAAAACACCCGCCCGGCCGCCATCTCCCCGGCCAGAGGCGCACCGGCTCACCTCGACGGAACTTCCGGTGTTTGGCCCTTATACAGGAGCTGTGAAAGTCGCCGTTTCAACACACAAGCAAAGACCTCTAACTTTATCTGTTCTCGCCATCGCTCGCTCGCTCGCGCTCTCTTTTTCTCTTTCGGTCTCTTTAATCCCAATCCTCCCCTATCTTTATTTATTATTTTTTTTTTTTACTTTTTTTCATTCCCCTCTGTCCCTCCCTTTCTCTTCCTCCCCTTCCCATTTTCTTTATGCCTCTTCCTTCCTTCCTTCTCTCTCTCTCTCTCTCTCTCTCTCTCTCTCTCTCTCTCTCTCTCTCTCTCTCTCTCTCTCTCTCTCTCTCTCTCTCTCTCTCTTCCATATCGTTCTTTACCTATCACAGTCTCCCTCCTTCCCTCATTTCCTCCCTCTTCTTTCTCCTACTTTCCCACACTACCAGCGATCTCACCTAACTGTCTCCTCCTCCACACTCAATCTCCTCCTCCTCCTCCTCTTTCTCCTCTCTCCCTCGTATCTTTTGTTCCTTCCTCTCTTTTCCTCTTAACCACACCTACGGCATTTCCTCAAGCGGTGATGAGACCGCTCTTCCGAGATTTGGCAGACGGCTGAGACCATTTCCCTCCCTCCCTTCCTCCCTCACTCACTCCCCCTCCACCTTCACCTCCAATAGTCCTTCCCTCCCAAACCCTCCCTCCCTCCCTCCCTCCCTCCCTTCCTTCCTCCCCTCCATCTCCCTCTCTCTATCCATCTCCACCTCCACCTCCAACAGTCCCTCCCCTCTAATCCCTCTCCCTCCACCTGTCACTCCACCTTCAATCCCCCCTACCTCCCCCCTCCTCCGCCACTATCTCGACGCGGGTGACCTAGCCCCTATCCCCTCCCCCTCCCCCTACCCCAATCCCCCCCCCCCACTTCACGGCATGACCTCGCCTCAAAAACCTGCCGCCACTCTGCGCGCTGACTGACTCAGGTGACCTTAACCCTTCCCCCCTCCCCCCCACCCCCACCCAGCCTGCATGTCATGTCATCGAGCTTTATCAACAAGACCGTATGAAGGTTACCCACAGCGCTACAGATTAATTACAAGGGAGAGAAAGAAAGAAGGAAGGAAGGAAGGAGAAAAAATGGTACCTGATAGTTTCTTCCTTTTTTTTTCTTTTTCTCTCTTCCTTCTTGCTTTTTTTCTTCCTACCTTCCTTATTTTTTCTTACTCATCCTCCTTGCTTCCTTCGTACCTCAACCGTTTCCTTCTTTCCTCTCTCCTTTGCAACGCAAAACACAGAATCACTGCCCATCCATTATGACGTCACTGTTGCAATCAATGCTCTGCAACTGCCAAGGCTTTCAGCGTGCCACGATCACGGCTCTCGACTGGAGGCGACGCCAATAAGAAGTGACACTGTTAATTCGCATTCGAAGTCTCTCCCTCCCTTCCTCTTTCTCCTCCCTGACTATCACTCCTCTCTCCTCTCTCCTCCATGACTATCTCTCCTCACTCTTCACTCCTCTTTCTTTCTCTCTCTTTTTCGTTCTTGTTTGCAGGTGTGTGTGTGTGTCTATCCCTCTCTCCCTCCTTCCTTTCTTCCTTATCCTTATCCTTATTTCCTGATCCATTCATTTATTCAGTTCTTCTCTCTCCCTTACCTTACACCTCCCTCCCCCCCCCCCCCTCTCTCTCATTCACCTGACCTTCCCCTACTACCATCCGCCCCCCCCCACCACCCGACCTCATTGCGCCAAGGCACCTTGTATCCAGCTGTGACTCACCTGGCTCTCTGACTCATGCTTGGTGCTCTTGGGAGGTGCGGGGGGAGGGGGAGGGGGGAGGAGGGGGCACCGAGCAATGAAGGGGGAATTGAGAGAGACGAGTCAATTACAGAAGCAATAGCGGGGGGGGGGGGGGGGGTGAGTAAGGGGAAAATTCCGCGGGACTCA